AATTTTTTTCCCATTTTAATGTTTTGTTCAAAATAAACCAGAGTATGACTGTATTCATAGGCCAAATCAGAGGTGACTGACTCATCTGTAACTTCTATTTGAAGAAAACATATAGGAAAACATCAATGAGGGAGCTCAGTATTTGAAGATGCAGAACCTACCAGCTTCAGTCCACTAAACACTGCATAAATTTTATGAGATAAGCTCCTTCTGTGTAGTAAATCATGAGAGTGAAATGAATCCAGAAGAAATAGTCCTAAGACATACAGTAAGAACAAGATTAATTGTAAATTAAAGAAATTAAAAATGGTCAAAGCAGAAATTCTATTTTGTTTAAAAAGATCTTATTTCATCTCCAAATAGAGTTTGCTTACAAGTTTCATAAGGAGTACTTTCTGAAGCCTGTAAGTCATGCAAGAACTCTTCAGGGCGAGATAAAACAGGTAGGAATTTTTGCCATGTGCTCACACTGTTTGCTTTGTTTACATCCTGCTTTTGATAAAATTTACGGTATTCAATTCTCTTTACAGGTTTTTCTGAATCATCAATTAAAAAAAAACAAAAACAAAATCACACATAGACATTGGCATTCCTGTGTCTAATTTATAGAAAAAGCAAAATACCATTAAACATATCTGCTAGACCCTATTTTATGAAAATCAATGATCACAGATTTAGCCTTGAGATGACTCAGGGAAAAAAAAAAAGAATATTTCTCTACATTTCACCTAAATGTGGAAGAAGCAGTATAGGAAATTAAAGGAATATCTAACGCCATGCATTTCACTTCCTGTGATCTTCCTCATCTACCAGGAAAATATACACATATATGTAAATTGCTGCCCATCACAATCCCCACTTATTTTACCTTCTTTCTATACATGCAAGCATAGAGCTTATGCAGTCATACCTCCTGATTTTCTTCCTTTATTAATTCTGACTTTTTTACTGCTTTTAGGAATAAGAAAGAAAGCAATTTTTTTTGGACCAAAGACCATCTATTCAGGGCTTAACATTGGGAAAGTGAGAGCAAGACTACAAACAGCTAAAACTGGGAATTTCCAGTTTAATGGAAAATTCTGGTATTTTGATTATTCTGAATCAGAACAAACTATTTCAAAATTTCCCACAAAGCAAAAATTAAAAAAAACAACAACACTTAAAAAATGCTTTCAGAAATGTTGAAACACATTTTGTTTGAGCTTTTTAGTTTTGTTTTTTTAATATTACTTCTCATATTTTGTATTTTTGTATCACATTCATAACTATACCTCATTTCATGCCACTTAATTAATGAGTAATTGCCATAATATATTATCATTTAAAAAATTTTGTTTAAATTGTGAACAAATATATCCAGTAGCTGATGTATATCTCATTTGAGTAGGAAAATAAGTTCAATATTTGGCTTTGTATCATTTTTAGAAACATTTGTTTCTAAAACTAGAATTAATATGGAGATATTCAAATTGTATTAATATTAATTATTAATATGGAGATATTCAAAATAGTAGCTACTTTAATTTGTACTATAAATTAAAATTACACAGTACTTTATTACATCAGAGCATTCTCACCATACTTGACCCCTTTTGATCTCAGCAAAGTTATTATTCTTGCTCTACAAAATGTGAAATACTCAGTAATTTCAGTTTACAAGTCCATGGATTAATTCTGACCTGTTACTAACATCGATTATTTCTACCACTACTACCTACAAACAGTGATTCTGGACTGAGTTTCTCATACATCCATCCTGCTCTTGAAACACTTATGCTTTTCTTCATCAGCGAATGTGAAAGGTTTCAATTTACATGACCCTCTCTAAAATTCAATCATGAAGCTTGCACTTTCCCTGTTTGCCCAAGTGAGAAACTGTTTTTCATGGCACTGCTCTCCCCTTAGTGTCTCTTCAACACTGGCAATGTAATGACAGCTCAGATTGCATGCCTTCATCCTTCCCACCAAATTTGTTGCTTCGGTTTAATCTAGTGACAACACCACTTAGGTCACCATGAAAAAAGGTGTTTGAGGGTTTGTTTTTTTTTTTTTTAAATGAATTAGCAAGATGATTTTGTTCTTGACTTCCCAACTTTTAACTTGAAAGGAATTTTCCATGATATACCTGACTAATCACTAACTTCAACACAAATTTCATAGTAATAAGATACACCCCTTCACCGCTTTCTTCAAAGACAATCTTGTCTCTGCTATTTTCACATAATGAAAAACAGCTGTTCACCAGCCACCATGTTTATTGTCTTCTTCCATGCTTTATCCCACCATGCTCTCCACCCTATCACCCTCTCAGGTGATTTCTATTATAGTGGTTCTATCTTGGTTCCAGAAAACTTGTAATCCCAATGTAAAAAATGAAAAACAGCTACAAATAACTGCATATAGGTAAGAGTGATCTAATACAAAAGAATGCAAGAGGCATGCACACTGGTTGCCTTACTATAGTTCAGACTTTTTCAGGCATTGTGGCAATGCTCCTACCCTTTTTAAAAGGATTTAAGGAGGGACAATATATTAATTTAGATAAATTATTATTTCTAGTTTTGCTATCTTCTATAAAATGGAAAAATTGACATAGGAACTCTATAGCTTTAGAGCATGTTAGTGATGACATATGGGTATTAAAGTGCAAAAGATGAGGATCAGGACACATAAATTCCTAAATATTTTGTTACATCTCTCACTCATTTAATATGTCTTTGTGGTTATTATATCACCACGGGTCATATTTAAGAAGCCAAACAAAAATATGTATGCTATATTCTTTTAATGTAGAATAACTATACAAATTCCAATTAAATAATTTTTTTTGACCTGGACATCTTTTGTGAGTATTTTGATGACTACCATAAACTCTGTAGTTTACAGGTGCATTTTATTCAAGGGAATGTATGTAGCTGCATAAGCACTTTAAAACAAGAACCAAAAGAAATAAGTGAAGTATATCAGAACCTTAAGCTGGTGAGGTGCATTGAGGAAAAGTGTTCAGAATGGCAAACACGATTATCAGTTGTTTAGAGACACTATGATTCTCTGGTTACCCTGAAAGCCAAAAGTTGCATCTTCTACTGTATCCTGCTCTCATGCCAAGAAAGGCCTGGTGAAACCTAGGAGAAAGCAAGCAGTGCAGAGAGAGACAAGGGTTTGCAGCTCAGGCACTGGGGAAGTTATGAATGAGTGGTATTCCTTCTGTTATGCAGGAAGAAAAAGGCAGAAGTATGTGCACCCACCTGTAGTACAGTAAAAGCAAAAAAAAAAAAAATATTATCAGACCTTTGCTAATTTGTCATCCCACATTCTTCTACAAGGCTTGTGAAATAAGTGATATGTGTGTTATGAGTAGCATCAGGCTTTATCAAGCTATGTGTAGAATGGTGCCACTATGCAGTGACCTCTGAAATGCAGAGGGAAGAATAAAACAGACCAGAATATTAAAATATAGCTCCTGCAGTACAAATGTGTATTAGAATACTTGAACTATTAGTATTACCTGAACTAAGCAAACTTACCTCAAAGCCCCCTGTGATTCTGCCTTTATGTTACGTTAGAAGAAATCCCTTCCAAAGATTAATCAGCTTAGCTAACCATACAGTGTTTAAAACCGCACAGAGCAGAGTATTAGCCATTCATAGAGGATACAAATAACTAAATGTGTCCTTTCTGCCTGGCAAGCACCGTATAGTTCAAGGTGGATCTGAAAACAGAAGAGATCTGAGCCAACATGATCTCAATTGTTATTTTCAATAATAAAGTACAGCTAGCACCTCAGCATGCAGTTGAGTGGAAGCAAACAGGGACAAAATGCAATGTTCTGAAACAGCTTTTATGGAAATCATGCACTGTTTGTGACATGTATTTGGTCTCTGGAGATGCATTCTTGTTTAGCCCTCTACTTTTAAATGCCATCTTACAAATCCAAAGGGTAACAAGTACAAACTGTATCTATAAAACAACATCACAACTTTATTCTCAATAGCTAAGTTTTGAAATGCAAGCATACATTATAAATAGAAAAACAGCTGGCTTGGAGCACATTGCAAGCCACTAACACAGTTGAGGGATTTGAATGACATCATAACCCGTGAGAGCATGTTGCTGGCCAGCTGGTGTTATTTATAATATACTCATAATTGAGGAAAAATAAAAAAGGCAAAACTTAGGTATTGCAGAACTAATAAAGTTGAATTCTCTCTTTCCCAGTGTCAAGTAAATTGTTATCAAGAGTAATTTGAAGATTACTACTCAAAAGGGGGGAAATCACATTATAATTACAACAGCAGATTTAATATACACATCATGGAAGCCCCCCAAACTGGGCTACTTGTGCTACTATATTTATAGTACTGTAAATTCTAGGAAATTATACGATTTCCCCTGTGTGGTTGCTGAAAGATCACAAAGCTATTTTGCCCTATTTACAAGTAGTGCTTAACAATTCTGTTATTTTTAGCAAATTACAAACTGCTATTTTAGGGTTAATCACACAGAGAGTTGGAGGTTTTAATTGTTACTCAGCATATAGGCGTGGCAAGTTTAATAACGTAAAGACGCATTAAGAAAGACGTAGATAACTGACTGACTACCTTTCTGTACTATATAAATAAAATACCTATGCCTCTATGCAAAAATAAAATGTGTGTATATACACAAAAGTATGCATATATACAAACATTGCCCCTAGGTATATGAGTTTTTATGTATTTGAAATGCAGACACACACACACACATAAATACAAATGCACACATAGCTATCTGAAAGTTAACTAGAATACATCTTCTTATTTTTCATGGCAGCACAAGCTCTTTTTGTCTGCTAACCCCTCAGTCACTAATTCACATTTTTTTAAAGGGAAAAAAATATGCTTCTGTGCTCTAGTTTTAAAATGCAAAGGTATGATGTTATTTGTCACCATGCCCAAAAAAGTCCTTACTCGGTAACTTTGCCAGAAGAGGGAGAGAGAGAGAAGGCAAATGCTCCCCCAGCTGTTTCCTGTCTACAGTGTCTGTGTAATGTAGATAAATGTGAGGATTTTCTCTAAATCCCTCTTCTGTTTGCTAAATCTCACTGTCACTGCTAAAATCAGAGCAGATAGAGCCTGCGCAATGGAATAAAGTCCTCAATATTGAAATGTGACATTGCTCTCAACATCTCACATCTCTCTGGATTTCTTTTTTCTCATCATTACTGCTAACAAATTCATTTCCAGACTTTGCACTTTTAAGAAGCAATGGAAAAAATCAACAGTCTTTCAACACAATTAGTTAAGTGCTGCTTGTGTGATTTCTTGAAGGTAAATCTTTATTACTATTTCAAATAATTTTTTAGTTTTATTTTGCTGTGTATTGTCTGCTTCTGGTTTGAAGAGTATTGTGCACTTTTCAATAACATTATTTTAGAACTGAGAATTATTTATAAATTGCTGAACATGCAATTTTATGTGATCTGGAAAATGGCTGTATGTAATAGTTGCAATTACATAGATGACTGTAAGGGTAAACTATTGCAAATACATGTCTTAAATTTCACTTCTATTCAGAGAACTTTGTAATATTTCAGTTATGTCATTATTAAAGGGTCCAATTACATCATTGTCTATATTGTTAATGAATGCTTTTGAAAACAAGAACTTTTAGCTATTTTCTGCAGGTGCAGGGTTTTATAGGAAAAAAAGGTATTATTCAAATGTTAAGTTTCTGCAGTTTTATTATACACAATTACAGAGAAAACGTTCATGCTTTCACAAGGAAACTTTCAAGGGATGTTGTCACTGCAGCAATTTTCTGGCAGCATCGTAGCATTTGCTTGTTTTTTGCTTTCATAAATTAAAAGTAAATGAGAAGTTCAGTTTGTTTTCTACATTAGAAACCAGCTGCGACTTTTGCTGACCTTGCATATTTGTACAGCTTAAGCAATTGTACATAAAGAAAATGGAAATTCCCTTACATGTTCATCTCCAAGTTTTCCCTTCTAGGGAGGGCTGTTTCAGGAAAGTTTGCATGTGAAGTTTCATGTTATGACCCTATAATTTCTGCACAATAATATAAACTGTCTTAGGTAAATTTGACTTCAGTAGGTGCATTGACCTCTGTTTCTGTCAATTGGCTCCAGTTCAACTTTCCATTATCAGCAAATTTATATCCATCAGGAACTTTTTTTCTTTAATATTTTGCAAGGAGATTTATGCAGTTGAAAGAATTATCCTGTTTTAATTGTTTAAGGCCTAATTATTTTTTTACAATGTCTTACACTTAAAACACACTTATCTCATTCCTTAATGACCTAATTACAGGTCTATAATTGTAATGGATGAAATCATTCCCTTAATGTATAAGTGGGCATCCCTTCCAATATACTTGAAAGATGAAGATTTTTTTTTTAAAGTATTGAACAAGGCACTAAGAGACATAAAAGTAATGTGCTAGTTCCTCAGCTGTGCATCCTGCCAAGCTTCCTTGGAATCAATGGAACATATTGATTTAGGTTAGCATGTAGCCCAGATTCTTTACTCAAAGTTAACAGTATTTAAACCTTGATCCGCTCTAGAGTATATAGGCTTTATTTATATAATAATTACTAGTGAATACTGTTATTGCATAATAATTACACATTTCTACTCTGATTTGATAATCAGGCCCACCCTCTTTGTAGTAAAATGTAATTTTGAATATATATCTTTTGATTTCTTTCTATAGAATGTACTGTCCATAAATATGTTGCTCCACTCCAGGTATTTATAATTATTGCAGATGTTCTTACATGTTACTAAAATGACCGAGCATGTGAAGAATTCTTATGCACAACTTTTGTCAACTATTAGTTTTTTAGTCAAAGAGGACTTACATAGAAGAATTGAGAAGTAAATGAGATGTAGAGTGTTCAAATATGACATTCCTTTGTGGTGCCACTCTTCTGGACTGTTAAAAGAGGAATGTAGCAAAAGCTGGTTATTTTACTGAAAAAAAAAGGAAATTCCAGCTGTGAAAATATGGTCATTCTATGCAACTAAAAGAAGTGCTTAACCAGGCTCATCTTGAACCTGTATTCAATTTCCTAATGTAATTAGATGCTTCAATAAACCCCACCCACATGGCAAAGCTTTTTCTTTTAAGCTCTCAACTTTCTAGTCAAATTGGGGATAATGTAAGTATTCTGCTTGATTGTAGAGAACCTGAAGCAATATTGGATTACAACTTTGTATTTTCTCAAGAATATTCCCCTCAGACATAAAGAGGAACTTTGATTTTATCACAAACATATTGAATCAATTAATGTTGTGTTTAATTAAAATGATGAGGTAAAGTCAAAGTTTTAAGCTATGTTTTGGAAGTAGTTTTAATGAAACAGTACTTAATTTATCAAATAATTGATTGAACCCTAGAAACATGTGAGTCTGTTTTCTTTTCTGCAAAGTTTTTATGTGTTTGAAAATTCTTGACTGTTGTTAAATTTGGAGATAAAGTTAGAAATTCTCTGTGGTTTATACTGTGCAGCCTTTTTGGCTTCCACTAAAGGAAAAACAGTAGATAATCTGTTTTGTCGTAGTTCAGTGCTGATATTTATCTGAAAATGCAAGCCAGCTGAGAAGTCTTGAAAAATAAAAAATAGTTAAATGTCTAAAATTTATGTTTATTTCTGGACCAAATGTTATACGAGAACAAATTGCTAAATACATAATGTTCTTGTATTTGTAATGTCTTTCAGCTTTCTGAGGCAGTGTGCTAAACAGCTTTCTGCTTTACCTCCTCAGAACTGGGAACCATCTTAAACTGCAGGTGCATCACATTTATCTTATAAATTCAAAAATATGGCAAAGGAAAAAAGAATTGTTGTTGTTAAGATATGTAATCATTACAGGGAAATAATGCCTCATGTTACCATCATTCATTTATAATCTGATCTTTTTCCATCTGCCATTGCAGTCATGTCTGTGCCTTCAAGCTTGTTGGGTTTTGCATGGCAAAGTTGGCTAAAGACTCTTGTGAATGGGAAAATAATTATTTATTCTTTTTTATAATATATCATGGGATTTAGATTTGTTCATTATTTTCATAGTGGAAATAGGGGACTCATCTAGCAAGGTACTAAGATCCCTTGCCAAGAAAATAATAATTCTTCTAAGTTATTGACTAGAGAAGACTTAATACCCCACTGGATCAGATCCCAATTGATCAGACAATAGACAATTTCATCAGTTTTTCAAAAGTTCAGTGAAGAAATAAGATTAAATGGTCCCTGAAACCCTGAAAGAAACTTCAGGAAAGATTAATCATTTTACTCCAATTACTTTGTACTAGTTTGCTAATACAAAGCAGTTTTAAGCCAAGTTTAACTGTATATAGAAGACAGATTTGTAACTTCTTACCTGACTGCAATACTAATGTTAAACTTGAGAGAGAATGAAATTAACTTCAGATTTACACCTTTTGAAACTAGCATTTTTGGCAAGCGATCTAAGTAAGTTCAGAGTATGCATTAAGCACATTCTTCAGTGTCCTGCTACTATAGGTAAATAGCTCTTCCTAATATTAAAAAAAAAAAGCCATCTTCTTTGATATGTTGGGTAAGATCTTTGGACATAAATTGATACTAAAGGAAGTGGATAAATGGAATGGTGTAAGTTTACACCCATTGAGAATTGGCCTTTCAGTCATAAGTACAGAAAAAAGATGGTTTATAACCAAATGTAAATGAGAAAATAATTATCACCCCTGTGTATATCTCATAGCCATACCTGACTAAGAGGATATAGTGGAGGTCAATAAAGTATAGCTGCATTTCTCGAATGCTTCCAGATATTTGCCTGTTAGTAACAGGAGACTTACTGTAAGAGTCATTGGTTGTGGTCCTCTACTATGGAAGGTCCCACATCAATTCCAGTAACACTGGCAAGCTGTACCTTGGAACATTTTTTGGTTTGTCCTGGTATTTTCCTTTTTAAGGTAGATGGAGAATCATGGGGTCCTAATACAGAACTCTCTTCCTATTAGGCCAAATCTCCTTCCATTCAGTTTACAGCCATTTATTCCTGTGCCAGTGCTGGCTTTTAGTTTAAATAGCTCTTCTCCATCATATGCCACCCCCATTTCCCACAGTATGTTGGCAGGCAACTCTCATATTCCCTCAGCTTATCTGTCTAAGACAAACCAATTTGAGGTTCTCTTCCTTACTCCTATCATTCCAGGCTTCCCTTTGCCTGTCTATTACTCTCCCCCATATCCTCCTCTTGCAGGAGCAACCATAAATTGTAGTCACTACAGGGTTCCCTAACTTACATTTGAATGTGAACCAAGAATATTCACCAGAGGAAATATTCACTTCACAAAATACATGGACTGGAATATGTAGACCATTGCAAAATTATGATAAGACATTTCCTGATAGTACATTTATTGTCCAAGAAATTATAGTACATATTCATGCTCAACTCACGAGGGTGCAGGAGTTATTTTCTTTAAGACTGTTGGGAAATTCTGACACTGCTTTTGCTTCCTTGGCAGGTGAAGATGCACACTGTGTCCTACACCCATTTCTTCTACCTTGGGCTGTGTTTGCTTACCTTAACCAGTTCTGTTGCTGCTGGCCCAGAAACACTCTGTGGTGCTGAGCTGGTTGATGCTCTTCAGTTCGTGTGTGGAGACAGAGGCTTTTACTTCAGTAAGTCAACCTTTTCTTTCATTCAACTGCTAAACTTTTCCATGTAATCCATTGGAGTCTTCTACTCCTCTAAATGAGCTTAGCTATGATCACCAAGGCTGCCGACTTTATCTCAGAGATGCTCAAGACTTCAATTACCATGAAGTCTCAGTAAAGAATAAAGTTGTGCCTGTGTTCAACCTCTCTGAGTTTCTGACAAATTTTGCTTTTCAGGCTTGCTATTGTTTTTAACCACTTTCCAGCTGCTGCTATTCCACCTGCTATCTTACTGTTTTCCACTGACCTGTCACTGAAATTAAATGAATGAAAGCACATACAAGACATTCATGAGGCAGAGGTGCATGTACCTGTTATGTCAGACTACTAGTAAACAGTTTAAATACACATTGTATCATATTAAAAACACATTAACTTCAACATCTGGTTTGAAAAAAAGAAAAGTTGGACAGCAGCAAGCAGAAAGTTACCACGTCCAAGGACCCACATGCTTCTTCAGTTAAATACAGGTGGAGGAAAATTCATGCGTGGTGAGATAATAAAGACTAACACCAGTACAGGCAACAGATAAAATTAACTCTGCGATTGTGTGGATCAAGAAATATTCACCTTGTAAGTAATAGAAATCTATTTCTGATTTTCAGCTATTTGCTACTCAAATAACAAAGTTAATGAAACTTTTAGCTAGGAACACATTCATTAACATACTTGTTCAAAACATCCTAGAATTTGTGTTCTTATAGCCTCTGAAGCTGGCATTTACTTTTAATAACAGCATGTGCTTCTCTGATGTTCTGTTCTGAGGTTACCCATCCTTCATGTCTAGTAGTAATTCTTGTCTTCCAAGCTATCATTTTTGGGTTTTTGATCATACCCACCCTATTCCTATTAATTTCTATTCATGGAGTTATTGCTTTCAATATTTACTCCTTGCTTGCAATAAAAGCAGAAGTTCAGATTCTTGCACTTCTAAATTATAAAAAATCCTAATTTCCTTAACATATAAACTGTAGACATTTTCGCTATCTTCTTGGCACATTCTATTATAGTTCACTTTTGAAACTGGGCACCTTAGTTTTGTATATGCAAAGTAATTCACTATTCACAAAAGAACTTTTCTTTTCTGTATTTAACACTTTAGTTATTGTTAATGAGCATCTATTCTAGGCTGCTGTTGAATTTAGTATTCTGATGCTAAGCACAACATTAAAACTACTGTAATCTCTCATAAAGGAATTTACACTTTTCTACCAACTCTTTACGTGTTCATTTACACACCAAAATCTGTTATATTTATCAGCAGCTCAGTTACACTTAAGGGGCTATTTGAGTGCCCTACAAATACTTTATGGCTGGAATGAATGTAAAGGAAGACTGACACCTCCCACTTCTGTTTCTGCACCAGAAAACAATGAGATATATACTACATCCTTAGAACAGCATAGTATTTTTTCTTTTACTGTGTATGTATCTTAGATGTTTCTCTCCCAGCAAAGTCTTTGCTGCTTGTTCAGAGAGCTATCATTCTTGTTTACCACTAGAGCAGCTGTTACTGCCAAGCTGTCAGACCTACTGTTATGTGTACTTTGTGTTCCTCAAGGTAAGAGGTTATGTGAAATGCCAACCATTAGCAATAAATCTCTTTGTTTTCAATCTCGGTTACTCTAAGGTTTCACAATCTGTTTCAAATCTCTACCCTAAGCTAAGTCATCCTTACTTTAAAATACCTGAATGGGTTTCCAAAGTTTCAAAGGAGATCATTACTCTTGCAATCTTGATTTTTTTATCTGCTGTCAGTTAAGACTTTCTCTTAAGTTTTCTCTGTTTTTTTCTCACATTCTGAGTTCCCACTTGAAATAATGTAACTTGACACCATAAGTGTGGAAGATTTTACTTATGAATGACCACTTTTAGGAAAGTCTTGCAAAGTTGTAATCAACATACTGCAGTTGCATCATTCAATAGGAATTTTATGAAGCTGATATGTATGTGGCCCCTTGGATGCTAAGTAATGCGTGTCCTCTACCTGAATACTTCTGATTCACAAGGAAGCAATTTAATCTGTTTTAGCCTTCTCCTTCTTGTTAGAGTTCAATCTAAAATACAGAACTGGAAAAAGTAAGCCCAGTAACACTGGTAAAGCAAATAGCAAATGTACTACCAAATCTAGTGAATATTTTTCTTTTGTTGTAAAGAGTATGTCAGTTAAAGTAGTATTTTAAGCCTTCCATTCTCATATTCTGGTTCCTTTAAATAAAGTATAATCAATGGTAGTGTTTGCCTTTAACTTGCACAGGAAATAGCTGTGAGGGAAGCTTTTTCTTCCATCATTCTGTATTTCACTAGAGACTCCAAATATAAAGAATACCTTTTGGCTGAGGTGGAACTCCTGGTTCAGATTCAAGGTCAAAGCTTCTGACTATTCCTTGGGAGCTGTGGGTGGAAATGAAGATAGAAATAACTGTATTACTTTCTGTTGAAATTCTGTACTTCGCAACCACAAGTCTATATCTATGGCTAGGACTGGAACACAAAAATTTCTTTTATATAGTCTACTTTGCCCAACTTTCTAGCTATAAAAGGAAACTCTTTACAGCTTCTCAGGAGATGCCCCAGCTGCTTACCACACACAAAGGGAAGTATTGACTTTCAGAGGAAGTCAAATGTGGTTCCTACCACTCTTTCTTCATGAGATAGACTGTCAAGGAGCAATTTTAAAGTTTTTTTAGGGGAGAACACTGCAGAAACCCCAAAATGGAGCATTTACTTTTTTCCTTGATCATATTTAATTCCAACAGGCACTGGCTACTCCTCAGACAGCTTTTTTTTCCTCCCATGATTCAACAGAGAAAAGCAGTTTGTTGCCACCTTTTGTCTAGGAACATCTCTCTAGGAGAATTTCTGCCACTGAAGTTCCCGTGTGTTAGGTTTTGTTGGGAGAAGCCAACAGAGAGCCTGGACACCGCTACAAAAGTGGCTACACTTAAACATAGCTTTTCTCAATTAATGTTTCTCTAGTCTCAAAACCTGTGGATTCAACAGTCATGAAGAAAAGTGGGATGGCTTCAACATTCACTTGAATTTTAATGTCTAGGAAGGTCTACCATGATACACTTATTACAAAACAATGCTGAGAGCAGAGAATGTTGGAAAAACTAAAAGGACAAATAACAGGAAACTTACAGAAGTGATAATCTAGGAGGGGGTAAATTATGCCTGAAATAGTCTAGTCTTATCACAGGGATTTACTTTGTAGATTAGTCAAAAAATTATTTATTTGTACGTGTTGAATTTGCTGGACAATCATTTAATTATTTCTCATACTCTTTCTTGAGGACTATTACTACCACAAGAAAGGAAAGCTCATGTAGTTTTCCCTAAGGAGAAAATGCTGTATTCTTTTTGATCTAGTTTCTTCTCCTTTGAAAATACACCTTTTCCAATAAATACAAAGCAATCTGGCTAATAATACATACGAGTGCCAATAAAGAAACAGGTTTTTTATCTCCATAGACATTTTCAGTCTTCTAATTTTTAAAGCCCAGTTAGATGGCAACATCTATTTGAAATCATGACAATCAACTTCATGAATTAAAACTCTATCTTTTTTTTCTGTTAAAAACACTGTTTTGGTCTTATGTTGAATCTTCTGAAGTATCACTTGCATAGAAAAGGAGTAGAATTTAGATACCTGAGACAATGGAGCTCCTCTGATATTCTTCAGAGAATGGAGAATGATCTAGCACATGCTTCCATATGTGAAACAGTGAATACCATAAAAGATGGGTTTTTCTGGTATCCAGCTTGATGTTCCCTGTGTCAACTGCTTTGTGGAGAATTATTGCAGATTTTTACTACATTTTTTTTGTCCAATGAGACAACCAAAACTGTGTGTTGTCCTTTGGAAAATCCCCAGCTGTGCACAATGTAAGACTATTAGTTTATCATTATCAGAATAAGAACGTGAACATAATTTTCGGTAATGAGAGCTGTCATCAGATCTCATTGCTTTGTAGAACTAAGGTGTATGTGGAGGAATTGCTGCCTTAGAAAACAGGAAATAAGTGATATAGCAATAGGCAATTACATTTTGCTTCTTCCATTTCCCTTTAGTTAAGAGCTGCTTGTTTACTTCAGAAAATCTGCTTTTAAGATGTTATTAAAGTTTCTAGGCCTGTCAAACCTATCAACATAATTACAAGAGATGGCACGGCACTCAGTTCTTTAAGTACTCCATACCTGTAGGAGCTATGAGTCATTAGCTCCTCTCTGCATCCCTGATTGAAAGGAGCATTAGTGTTAGAAGCCCAGCAGAGGCATGCTGAAAATCTGCCATGGACACACACAGACTGTGGTGTCAGTGACAATCTCACAAATCTCTGCAAAAAAATGCTGGTCATCTTGGCTAGATTCACACAGCAAGATCTAAGAGTGTTTTTAAGTTCCTTGGTCTGGTGGCATGCCCCATTCATGTCCAAACATTGTATCCATGGAAGATTTGAGTGTGTCAATCTTTATCCCCAGGTTCCTTACTTTCCTTTTAGGAAAACTCACCTGGAAAGGAGCTCTAGCCAAGTCTGCAGAGTCAGTGCTCAGAGAACCAGAACTATAGGCACATATACTGATACATACCTCTGTAAGAAAGACAGCTCTGTCCTCTGGAATGGTATCACTGTATAGCCAAATAGCTGACACATAAGTGTGATGTGTGCTTTTTTTGTCCCTGGTAGTAAACATTGAGGAAGTTCTCTGAAAATATGCCAGTCTTTGAAAGAATTTTCTTATTTTTTACAACATTAACAAAGGATAGGGAGTGTTCATAAAGGCTAACCCTAGTTTAGTGAGGTTAATCTTCTTAAGTTACCTCTTTAATAACAGAGAGAGGGTCTGCCTTCTTTCTCCATGGATCGCACAGCGAGTCTAGGAGGATTTATCCTCTAAAACACACTAAATTTAGACCCCGCTAACAGGTCTTCTCTGCAGCTAGTTCCTCAGGTCACCAA